CCCGCTTCATCTCTTATGAAATCAAGTAAATCAGCCATTTTTTGTGTTCGAACTCGTGTATAATATTTAGCCATAATGCGCATATTCTACTTAATAAAAAAAATAAAAAAAAACAACAAAATAATAAATTTTTTTCTAATGCTTTTTACATGTTCAACAACACGAATTTTAAAATCGTCCCAACATTTATTTCCATCATCAGTTTTAGCAAAAACAGTTGTTGCTAAATCATCTTTTGTACCATTTTTAAGTTCATTTTCAAAATTTTTTAATACATCTTTCCAATGAATAAGTTCTTGAGTTTTAAAACGTTGTAATAAATCTCTATTTATTTCGACAATAAGTAAAAAAATTTATAAAAAGGAAGAAATAAAAAATAGTTCTTTACTTGTATTTGGGAATTTCTTCAAGATTTTTATCAAGAAATAAACGATGTAAAAAATCCGATTGTTCATTGTTATATGGTGATAACGTTAAATAGAGTACAACATGTTTTAATGCTTGTTTCATTTTTTCTTGATCTTGTTTTATACGTGGTGTTTCATAATAATGTTTATAATGTTGACAAACATCAAAATAATTTTTATCATGTAAATCCATTTGAATCATTAATTCATAATATTTTAATTTTAAATCCTTTAGAAAAAAAAAAATAAATTTAATTTATAATTCAAATCAATTTGGAAGCTAAGCAAGTATTTGACAAAGTCAATGAATTTACTTTAAAAAATCTATATAAAACGTTGAAATTTGAACCATTTAAATCTTCTATATTTAAATATTGATTTACACTTTACTCTAGAAATTCTTTAAATACTGTATCACTTTCCTCAAATACATCTTTTTTTATGGCTTAATGTTGACATAACAAAATTCAAAGTATTCAAATTTGTGTTTAATATTTTTTATTATTTGACATGTGATACAAACTTTAACAATCAAATAAAAAGTTAGGTTTACGAAGCCAGTTATGTTACTAAATGTTGCTTGAGAACATATGCAGTAGCTTCCGAAACTATTTATCCAGATTATTTTTCAATTTTTTTCACTGAAATAACTGCTTTTCAAAGATGAAAATGGTTATTAGTTTTTCTGGGATTGACTCTCTGAAAAAACAAATTATTCAACTCCGAGAATTTGCAAATAAAATTCTATTTGAATTATATAGAATAATAAAGCAAATAGTTNACATTTTTAAATTTTGAAAATATACAATTTTCAAAAAACATAATTCAAAGATATTTTAAGTGTTTTCATCGTTTTTGGTTGCTAGGACAGCCATGTCTACTGTTTATTCTCTTTACAGATGGCTCTTTTTTATTACTATCATTATATATTGTTTATTTAGTTTCCTTGGATTGACTCTCTGAAAAAAACAAATTATTCAACTCCTAGAATTTGCAAATAAAATTCTATTTGAATTATATAGAATAATAAAGCAAATAGTTCTCTATAAAATTAAGAACTGTGAATTGTGTTAGAACGAGCGAAGTGTAAGAGATTTTCTTATCAAATAAAAATTATTTTTTGTTTTTATTTAATTGAATAAATTGATTAACTAACTCTAAGTTGGTTGAAAACTTACATGTGAACTTTCGTCTTCGAACGCTTTAATATTGATTTTTTTTGATATAATCTGTGTTCGAATATAGTCGTTTTTAGCTAAACAAAGACGCATTTGTTCAAGTAAAAATTCAAGTTTTTCACGACGATCCATAGTTCCATAAGTTTCTACCTAAATAATAGATAATCAAAGAAGAAAAACAAATGTTCTAGTTAATAAAAGTGATATAGTCAAAAATTACTTGAAGTTCTTGTAAAATTTCTGCTGCTTCTTTTGTTTTACCTTGTCCTTCATAAATATCAGCCAATTTCTTTGTTAAACGTGCACGTTCATTTTCAACAAAGATCTCAACAAAAAAAAATATATATAAAATTTCAAAACTATTGTCCTATAAAAAAAAACATTCTTTTTTGTACCTTGCCCGTAGTAACATTTCGAAGTGTTTCAATTAATTTAAGTTTTGTATCTAAATCTGGTGTTTTTTCCACAAGTTCATATGCTTCTTGAACCATTTTCGTAATGGCTTGTTTTAATTGACTACGACGTTTTGATAATGTTATAATATGTTCATTCATTTGTTCCCATTGTCTTGCTGCATAACAGTATTTAATAATAGCTACAAGAACACGTCCAGTAGAAATAGCATCAGCTGCCTAGAAGAAAAAAAACTTTTATAATATTAAAAAACAAACAACAAAGAATTTTTGATGGAATTTCATACAGTTCGAGTTTGTTTTTCCAGTGGTAATAAACGATCAAGAGCTTCGTTTAATTTTGTTTCATCCTAAATTAAATTTCATAATTGTGAAAGTACAATTTTAATAATTATATTTACTTTCATTAATTCATCACATTCTTTAAGCTTTTGATCAACTACAGATGAATAATCGATCTCCATTTTAACGAGTCTATCGCTGTCACCCATCGTTAATTTTATTAATACCTGTAAATCTACAAAAGAAGAATGTTGATTGTTAACAAAACCACAATGAATTTATTTTGAATTAGTAAGTTCATGTATGAATGAATACGTGTGAAAGAGGAAAGTATTTGATTGGAGAACATATTTGCCAGTGTAATACCAAGAAACTAAATAAACAATATATAATGATAGTAATAAAAAAGAGCCATCTGTAAAGAGAATAAACAGTAGACATGGCTGTCCTAGCAACCAAAAACGATGAAAACACTTAAAATATCTTTGAATTATGTTTTTTGAAAATTGTATATTTTCAAAATTTAAAAATGTTGGAAATTGAATTTTTTCTATACATCAGCATTTCTTTTCTTTTTCAACGAATTTAAAAACAAGAAATTTAAAGAAAACAAAAAATGTCTTAATTTACAAAATTGTTTGGTAACAGATACAGATAGTGACATGAGTAAATAATCTGCTATTGGTTTCATTAACATATCGTAATAAAAATATTTGTTTTCTTGTTGTGAATAATTGAAAATCATATTTATGTATCTTAAATCAAAGCTATTTGACCAAAGTAGAATAGAAATAATTCTATTTAATTAAAAAGAAAAGCTATTTTCAATACAGAACTATCGTCTAATGAAATAGAGTAGATGTTTCTTCTAGAAGTTTTCGTTGCTCTACGAAAGTAGGTTTAGAATCGTATGCTATTTTTACAAAGAGTCAAACTGTTAGGTATGTAAGACTTCATCATATACTAAGAAAAGGTTTCAATTTTTTTCACGAGAAATATAATGATCAAATATCACGAATGATAGAGTTTATTAAGTTTTATGACAGAGTTTGTCCTACATCAAATGTGCTGAAGCGACATCTATGCTTCGAACGATTGAAAGAAAAAAATTAGCAAAATTAACAACAAGAAACTATCATTTAAATGGTTATTTTTGTATATTCATCCAATAAATATTATAAATGCAATCGTTGCAAAAAATAAAATAAAATTTGTTTCAATGATTTCATGAATTTGACATCATTTCTGAATGATGAGATGGATTATTTTGAAAATGAATAAAAAGATAGCACTGCTTTCATTTTTTTCTACATCATTCTCATGCGAATGATAGTGAAAGTGATCGTGCCGTTGACTTGGTGAATATGTCATTTGAGTATTCAATTTGTACTATTCTGAATCTGATTTTCTCTTTGTTCTACAAGGGGTAACTTTTAGAGAGCTGCAAAGGTGCAGATATTTTTTTGTTTTAAATGGAGAAAGATTTTGCACTTGCTTTTTCCATTTTATAATCTTATTCGTAATAAAAAAACACGATTTGGACTGGAAAAAATTAAAAATTTTCTAAAAATGAGTGGTGCTAACTTCTCCGCTCGATGGGTTCCGCTCTGGATGTAAAAAAAACAAATATACCTTGGAATAATAATAAAATGTCAGACTTTCAAGAAAACTTAGGTCATTAATTATCTGTCAGCACGCATGACCTGTAGACATATGCATACTGTTTTCCATCAATCAAACATCATACAGATTATTTTTGATATATGCCATGCAATATTTTCTATTAATTCTGATTTAGTCCATCATAATATTAAAACAAATGTTGTGCATTTGCTGTCACCAAATTAAAGGAAATTATAAACAAAATTTTTTTTCTCGTTAATAAATGGATAAATCTGTAATAAATTATCGAAGTATTTAAATTTAATGTACGACTATGTACACATTTGTTTGAGAATCAAATCTGTTCAACTTTATTTTGTATTTGCTGCAGTAGTTATTGCAGGGAACGGATTCCTAATTCAAAGAAAACATATTAAGTCAAGTTTTAACAGAAATCGTTCTAACGCAAATGTCAAAATCTATGCAAATCTTGCTGAAGTTACTCAACCGATTCGCTCATTGCCGATTGAATTCTCAGTTAAAGATTGGAGTGATATTCATTCTGATTCACTAACACAACAATCAATTATTGGAAAGAAAAAATCACTTAACATTGCTCAAGTCAATGTTCGTGCACTATCATCATCAAATACTGAAACAAAATTTATTAAAGCAACAATGATTGATGAAACAAGAAATTTAGTTAAACTTATTGATAAAGACATTAGTAAAGAACCAATCTTTTTTACTACTCAATCAGATCATATTGTTTATGATACAATGAGCCTCCTCAAACAAAATACTATATTAATTTTACATACTATACAACAAATGCAGTTTATTTAAGTTATCTTCGTTGAAATCTTAACTGGAAAACACGTTATCAATTGAATTTATTTGAGAATTCGAAACCTGTAAATCTCATTTGCTATGACCAATATTCGAAATAATGAACAATCGAGAGTTGATATTGAATCTGCAGAACTTTTAGATGCTGATATTAACGTGCAGATGCATCCAAAGTCGTATTATATGCCAATAAGTGTACCCAGCAGTATTCACAATCAGTTCCCAAATTTTGTTTATGGTTCCCATAGCTCACCACCCAGATCATTACTTGGACAAGAAAAAGAATTATCCAGTTTATATGTATTTTCTATCAATCAACCATTTTCAATTGATGGTAAAACAAATCATCCTTTATTAATGTTTCATCCACAAGTAACTGTGTAATAATATGCTCCTATTTCAACAAATTTCTATAGTTCTGAAGATATAAATGGTAAAGCTAAACGTGCATATCGTCTCTCCTCTGATCGTTTTCTTTCACGCGGTAATTATATTATACGTGAATAGGATCGTCTTGTTGATGAAACATCCTTACCAGATGTAGCCGTTAAAAATAAACATGAACTTTCAATTAGTCAAGATGTTGATATAGTTTACAAAGAAAACATCTCTTCACGTAGTTCGCATGTAGCAACTTCACTTTACGACTTTTTGACAACAAAAAAAAAAGAAATGAATGTGTGAAATTAATTTATCAGTGAAAAATTGCAAGACAAACTGTTGAGTTAAAATTGAATATCAAAAGAATTTTATAGGCAACTCAGTCAAATTGCTTACGCCGAATGCAAATATATGACTCTTTCAATAATTAAATATAACACAATGATAGAAGCAAATGAAGAAAAAAATAACAGTTTCTAAATATGAAATAAGCACTTTCTTCCCTAGATAAAATATTCATTCTTACTAATATCCGTTTTTTATTTACTATAGATTTTATTGTGTAGTTGATTAAGTAGGTTGTTTAAAACAACATAGAGAAAAGTGCTTATTGGTAATAAAATGCAATATTTTAATATCTCATTGTTGTATAATCAATATACTTCGAATAATTATTTAGGTTGAAATTCACAATAACAGAAAAAAGAAAAGCAAAACGAAAAACTATTTTGTTTTATAAAACATTCGTATTGAAATAATGCATCTTGAAGAAAGATATATATTACATGCTACTAAGGCTTTTGATTAATCATGGTTACGATATAGTGCTCAGATATGTAAGTTTCTATTCCAATAGTTTATTATCCAAAATATTGATCTGTATCAGAATAAAAATCATGACTTTTTCTTTGGTAATATTGTAGCAAAAGAACAGTATCATTAATTCTAATAATGCTTGTCGTCTAGATGGAAAATATCTCATGTGATGTATAGAGAATGAAAAGAAAAATAAATTCTGTACCCAATAAGTACTAATCCGATATGTTGTTTTTTCTTGCAAGAATAGAGATTCTTTGATAAAAATACGTAATACACTAATATATTACTTGATAGTTTCTCTTAAATATCTCTTTAGGATTCTGAATTATTGTGTACAGGAGAAAAAAATTGGTTGTTTTAAAAAAAAAAAAAACTACTATAGAAAATCATTTTTAGCCTCGAAGAATAATTATTGAAAATTAATAACATTTCTTCTCTTGGGACAGGAATATGTTCTTGAGGACAATATTGATATTATAACATAACAGATGAAGTGTTGAAATTATCTAAAATAGAATGTTCTTTACAAATGGATTCGCCACCTGATGGTTTCATCAAATATATGTATTGCCCGCTACTATATCAACGCCATACATAAACTGGCGAAGCTTTTTGTTCTGTCCAAGTCATCACGATGATAAAAGTAATATATCATTGACTTTTATCAAAAGAAAAGGGTAAATTCCCACTCATTTCTCCCTTTTTTTTCTCTCTCTCTTATAAATGGTTATGTCTTACAGTATCCTATCACCATTAGATAGCATATCGAGCTACTACTCATTTGAAGATGAAATCTTTCTTACTTCTATGTCTATTAGCTGTACATACTCTAAGTATCAGCGGCTTCTTAGACATTAGAAAAAAACCCGTAGTAACTACTGGTGACCATCGTGTACTTGCAACCGTGAAGATTTATTCAAATCTTGCTGAAATCATTCAACCTCTTGGTAAATTACCAATCGAATTCTCAAATGAAGACTGGAATGATATTCGTTCTGATTCAGTAACACTTGTCGGCTCTAATGTCACGGTAACACAACAATCAATTACTGAAAAGAAAAAATCACTTAACAATGCTCAAGTCAATGTTCGCGCACCATCATCATCAAATACTGAAACAAAATTTATTAAAGCAACAATGATTGATGAAACAAGAAATTTAGTTAAACTTATTGATAAAGACATTAGTAAAGAACCAATCTCTTTTACTACTCAACCAGATCATATTGTTTATGATAATGAACCACCTCAAATAAAATACTATGTTAATTTTACATATGATACAACAGATGCAGTTTATTTAAGTTATCTTCGTTCAAATCTTAACTGGAAAACACGTTANTGAAAGAAATGCCATAATGATTTTAGCGATAGTGATGATGATGACAAATGACATGTTTTACGTAGACGAAAATTAAAACAAATAATTTCCTTTAAATTTTATTCGTAAATAAATGTAATAAACTTTGAAAATATCATAGATTTACCAATGAATTAATGAAAACGGACTATGCATTCCACTTTGATTCGTTCTATTAAGAATATACATTGGATGACTCAAAAGTTCTGAAAATCATCTTCGATTCTTGCTATTTGACATGATTGAAAACTTTCTCTTTAACTTTGAAATAGTGTTAGAACTGGTCGATATGTTGACCAGATTGAACGCTTATTGTTTGCTTTTGGCATTCTGAAGGATCATTCTTTCAAAAGATATATTTTTAGCGGGATAGGATCCACGTTCGATTGTATATTGGTACGAGATAAGAATTTGACTGTACAGCAAAAGAATTCATACGGGATTGTGTGATGCATAAGATAAAGGCCATGTATTGTACAGCACAAAATCTGAATTGGTGAAGCGCTTTAAAAATAGTAGAATCTTGTTATAAGATGATTCAAGAATTGGACAACCGGAAACCAAAATCATTGAAAAAATATATTGAAATCGTTCGTACATTACTTGAGGAAAACCTATATAATATTCGATACATAGTATTTGAGACTGATCTGTCTTACGACACTATTAGCAGATTCATTTATGAAGAACTGAAATTAATAAGTTATGCACACGATGAATGCCATATCAGCTGACCGAAAATGTAAACAATAGCGAATTAACATATTTTAACAAAATCTTGCCAAATTAGAAATCAATCAATGGCTCCTATGTGAAATTATTACAGTGGAAGTATAGCATGAGTTTATCATCGTAGCATTGATTCGAAACAACCCACTATAACATGATAGTCTGAAGAGGTAAGTCCAGTAAGAGTGGTTGGGTGAAGGTAATATAAGCAACAGAACATGTTTGCCATCTTCTATAGTGTAATACGACCAGAGCTTATACCCATGGTTGAATGCAGCATGACAATATCTGATACCTACTACAAAGACACTTGCTCGAAATCTTTGTTTAACGATGTCAGAAATAAGGCCAAAATCTAGTTTATACACCATAAAGTTGCACCGTGACAATGCACGACTTCACAAAACGGAAGATACTAAAACATTCCTTCGAAGCAAAGGCATGATTGTGATGCCTCATTCAACTTATTTTCCTGACTTCGCCTCTTCTGAGTTTTGATTACTTGGAACAGCAATTAAACAGCTGCCTTGATTTCGAATTTTAATAACAAGCTGTAACTGAGGAGCTTCACGCCACACAATATTATGAGTTTCAAAAGACATTTCATAAATAGGTTGATCGAACGAAATTCGGTATAACAAGTAAGCGCGAGTACTTTGAATATTTAATGAAATAAGATTTTCGAAAATATTATGTATTCAATAAAAACATACATATTCCAAGAACATTTGAATCACCCTATATATAATCATCATTTAACTCAATGTGAAATTAAAATAATTAAATAATCTATTGCATTTAGTTTCCTTCTATTCTTAATCTTGATGAGCACGTACAAAGAATTTAGCTTACCATGGAAGAATTCAGGCTAAAAAATAGATTTTTTCATACGAAGTAGTGTAAATCTAACATGATCTATCGGAAAAGTCTTACTGGACTTTTTGTATCGATCGACAAAATTCTATCTTCGGAAAACAAAGTAAATTCTTCAACTTGAGTAAACATCTTGGTATGTAGAAAATTCAAATCAACAAGCTAATTATTCATGATTTCGAAAAAACAATTTAGAAATTTATATTTCTCATCACGGAGGATTTTTTGGTCAAGATTTATCGTATATCGCTATTCTTGCCAAATAAGCTTCTTCCAACTGGAACAACAAAAGTCAAAAACTTCGAAAATACCAGTTCAATTACAATTGTTTATGTAACTGTCTTAGGTTATTATTATCAACAGTTATATTATTAACTATTCTGCATATGTGCTTTAATCGTAATACAACAAATAAAAAATTTTGCAGTTACTAATTACGGAGAACTTCTTTGCTCTATAAACAATTAATTCAATATTATATTATTGCTTTACACCTATATCGAAATACTAGCATCTAAACTTAACAAACAAGACATTCGTGTCTAATCACAAGAGTACAAAAGATAAATAATTCTTGAATAATAAAATAGTAGTGTTCACAATTGCAATCGTATAATTAGACTATTATATAAAAACTTCGTTTAAATTTATTAAACAATTTAATACATTTTTTTTTCCTTTTACTTTGTTACTAATAAATTGTTTATTTTCATATATTCAACAATAACTTGTGCAAAATTTTGTGCATTCATACGTTTATTTCTTCCAGTACGAATATCATAAGGTAATTCTATTTGAATTGCATTGATTTTTGAAGAATAATTCTGTATGATATAACCACCATGAAAAAATACACGAGATCCTGGTTTAGGATTTGCTAATGATGGATAAGCAACACCTAATTCATGTCGTTCAAATATTGATCCAAATGATGTTTGACCACGAATAGATTCATTTCGATTTGATTTACATAATGATTCAATTGATGTTTTAAATGATGGATCAGATAAATCATTTTGATTTAATTGATTACTTGATAACATATACCCAATCATTGAATAACTCAAAAAAAAACAATGAAACAAAATTTTATTAAATAGATCAACGTTTTTTTTTTTTTTTCAATTCATTTTAACTTACTTTCCCTGAGCATGTCCATGAATATCAATAAGAAGACCTTTACCAAATAAATGATTAACTTGATTAATTGCATCATTTAAATTCATATGATAATTCTTATAAGCAGATATAGCTTCAGGATTATTTAATGTACCTTCAAGAATTTCTCGATTGAAATCAACTTTTTTACGATGCCATTTACCAATAATAATAAATGGTTTTAAATTTCCTATTTTATTTAATTCATTTATTACATTTTCAGTAAATTCATCTGTACGAATATCTTTTATAACATTTATTTTACAATGCTCTGCATCATGAAAACTATTATTTGTATTTAACAAATGAATATAAACTTCCTTGGTTCGATCAGGTACATTATCAGGCATTAAACTTCCACCATGTGGTACTGAAAGTATAATGTTAACATTTCCATTGCAATGATATTTACAAGATGATCGATAACCATCAATATATTCCAATGTTTCTTGTTCCATTGATTTAACAATAAACAATAATATAACAAAATTAGATATATATACGAAAACAAAAAAGAAATATATCAGTTAATATTTTACATTATCTATAAAAATTCATTAGAAAAATGGCCAAATAAAATTATGTTTATTAAAAATATCTTTAAAAATATAAAAAACAAACAAAGTGAGATTCAAAATATTTTTAATAATATTTGCAAATTAAAAGGACATTTTTTTTTGTCTTATCAATAAATATGAGAGCAAAAAAGGCATATTAGAGCGTTGCATTCAATGAGAAAAAAAAACAAAACAATAACAGATCTGTATGAATAAATAAATAAAAACAGACATTGTTTTCTTTCTGATTGTTTAACATAGGATTTTTTATTCACGTTCTGCACGTATTATTGTTCGAATATCAATATGTTTAATTCTTCGAGCATTTTTAGCTAAATCAGTTGTTGCTTCCACCATATCTTTTAAAGCATATGATAATGTATGAAATGCTAAAATATCACCAATTGATTGTATTGATACTAATTCAGTACGCATAAAACGATTATTAGCATAAAGAAATTGCACTAATGATCCAAGCATTAAATCAACAGCATTACGTAAAGATGGTAATGGTTGATGAGTTTTTTGTTGATTTCTATGACAACAAGGAAGACAGATATAATGACTTTTAGAGATTGGTTTAAATTCAAATTGTGTAACAGAATAAAATGATGCACGACCATTTGAAGGTTTAATTTGAAAATTTTCTTTTTGTTGTTCATCCAATGAATCTTCATGACATAATCGCTGTAATTCAAATGAACCAACATCAACAGTTGCTTGTTTTTCAATTAATTGTTTTGCTAGTAATATAACTTGTTGAATATGTTTTTCAAGTGTACAAATATGTTCAAGAACTGGTTGATATGATTTTGTATTTGCCATTCGAAGTGATGTTGATGAATTATTTGACATTAATGATTGTTTTTCATATTCTATTGGTGGACGTAAAGAATGTGTCATAAATACTGTTAATGGAATATCAAGATCATTTTGTAATTTTTTTTGTTTACGTAATTCTGCCATTGTCCATGCATAATGACTTCTTGTTTCCATATTATTATTATTCGAGATAACACTTGCTCGACGAAGTTGCCATCTAAAAAACAATTATATAAAGTTTAGAATATATTCATATTGATTAGAGATCGATCAGTTCGCAGTTCAGATCGATTGAGTGAAAGAACTGTTCGGATCAGTGTTTCCAATGGCAAGTGTACCAAGCAGAAACAAAATGTACGGAGCATCTGCTACTTTTGATTTACACTCTGTTGTACACTTGCCCAGAAAAACAAAGTGTACAATGTACACTTTGCTAAAATAGTTTACACTTTGATTTCTTTGATNCAGTGTTTCCAATGGCAAGTGTACCAAGCAGAAACAAAATGTACGGAGCATCTGCTACTTTTGATTTACACTCTGTTGTACACTTGCCCAGAAAAACAAAGTGTACAATGTACACTTTGCTAAAATAGTTTACACTTTGATTTCTTTGATTTTTGAACCTTAAAAGCCGCATATAGTTTTAAATTAATTAAAGATAACGTTTATTTGTTCGCTAGAGATCAAAATATTTATCTTATGAAAGAAAACAATGACGAATATTATATTTTGTTTTTTCAGATTGTGACAATTTGGCTTTCGTACACTTTGATACATTTTGCTGAAAAAAACAAAATATAAAATACACTTTGCTAATAAAATACAGAGTGTACAGTACATTTTGCT